ATGGTTGGGATGGGTGTACTCTTCACTGGATTAAGAACTGGCTGGATGGCCAAGCCCAGAGAGTGGTGGTGAATGGACTTAAATCCAGCTGGCAGCCAGTCACGAGTGGTGTTCCCCAGGGCTCAGTTTTGGGTCCAGCCTTGTTTAACATCTTTATCAATGATCTGGATGAGGGGATTGAGTGCTCCTTCAGTAAGTTTGCAGATGACACCAAATTGGGTGTGAGTGTTGATCTGCCGGAGAGTAAGAAGGCTCTACAGAGGGACGTGGACAGACTAGATCGATGGGCTGAGGCCAACTGTATGAGGTTCAACAAGGCCAAGTGCTGGGTCCTGCACTTGGGTCACAACACTCAACACGACAGGCTTGGGGAGAAGTGGCTGGAAAGCTGCCCAGCGGAAAAGGACCTTGAGGTGTTGGTCGACCGCTGGCTGAACATGAGCCAGCAGCGTGCCCAGGTGGCCAAGAAGGCCAATGGCATCCTGGCTTGTATCAGGAACAGTGTGGCCAGCAGAAGCAGTGAGGTGATCATGCCCCTGTACTCTGTACTGGTGAGGCCGCACCTGGAGTGCTGTGTTCAGTTTTGGGCCGCTCTTTACAGGAAAGACATTGAGTTACTGGGGCGTGTCCAGAGAAGAGCAACAAGGCTGATGAAGGGTCTAGAGAACAAGTCTTCTGAGGAGCGGTTGAGGGAACTGGGACTGTTTAATCTGGAGACGAGGAGGCTGAGGGGGGACCTTTTGCTCTCTACAGCTACCTGAAAGGAGGTTGTAGTGAGGCAGATGTTGGTCTCTTCTCCCAAGGCAATAGGACGAGAGGCAATGGCCTCAAGTTTTGTCAGGGGACATTCAGATTGGATATTAAGAAAAATTTCTTTACTGAAGGAGTGGTCAGACATTGGAACAGGCTGCCCAGAGAAGTGGTAGAGTCACCATCCCTGGAGGTGTTTAAAAGACGTGTAGATGTGGCACTTCAGGACATGGTTTAGTAGGCATGGTGGTGTTGGGTGGATGGTTAGACTTGATGCTCTTAGTGGTTTTCCAACCTTAATGGTTCTGTGAAACTGTTAAACATGAAAAAGAGAAGTCAAGAGATGCTAATGCTTAGGCATATTCTCAAATAACTAACTGCATGAAGTAGCTAGTGTTAGCTAATGCATCTGTTTCTATTATGGTCTTAAACTGTAACAAAGCTGAAGCCACAGTTCACAATGATTCTTGCTGCTGTGCTGCATTTGAATTTATCGAATAAAAGTATCTCTGACAGCAAAGGTGTTAGCATTTGTTGATTTAAAATACAATAATGTATTAATTACAGTAGTGTATTAAGTACAATAATGTGATGGTTTGTGTCTGAAACAGTATATAGGACCAGTGAAAAGGGATCTGACGCTGTGAAGATCTGCCAACAAAGTATATCCCTCTCTAATTGCTTTGATTTGGGTAGAAAGTTTCAGTAGAGAGCATAGACATGTTTTGTTGAAATTTTATATGTGCCAAATATATAGTTAATTATGCTTTTCCCACTAGGCGCCTTTCTGTGTGTTAAAGTTGATGTTCTAATGCTTCATAGCAGGTCAGTGTGATGTGGGTGAAGAATGATACAGAGATCTCTGAGCTAAGGCCAGCTAAGCTCACCTTAGAGCTGTGGTAGCTTGATTGTGCCGGTTAAGAGGCTGGCTAATCATCTAAGCTGAAGATCACAGTAGCATATTTTGATTAGTGAAATCAGTAATTTCTTTCCAAATTTATAGTTCTGGCACATTTTGATATTTCTAGCTTCTTTCTCACTCAAAATGAAGGATCCTTGGAACACCATTTAAGGAAAAAGGTATCTGATGTCCTTCAACCATCTCTAATACATTATTCAGTCTCGAGCCTGTTTGGTTCTATAAGAAAGGTAAAAATAAACTCTTCAAATGAATAATGCTTCCTGTTTCACACAAACATGAAAAAAAATCAATAATCTGTTTACCTGTGATTCTGTACTGGATGGGCATAATACATAAAGGTAAGGTTGCTGATCTGTTGTCATCTGTGAAATTGTGATATGAAGGTAATTTGTTCATAATGTTATCTTCCTCTGTAGACCTCAACTGCTACTGTTAACATAGTGGTGACGGATGTAAATGACAATGGACCAGTTTTTGATATGTTTCTACCTAAAAACCTATCTGTACAGGAAGAGGAAGCCAATGCTTTTGTTGGTCAAGTAAGGGTAAGTTATTAACTGTGCAGAGTTAAATTTTTTATGTTATTACCCATACTGTCCAGTCTATTAGGAAAGAGCACAAAATAACTGTACCTTAGACAAACTCACATAAGAATGTCTTAGGAATAAATGCAAACTGTCTGTCGTCAGACACTTTTATGCTAAAAAAAGTAGTATTTTGAACTTTAAAATACAGAATTTGTTTTCTTCTCTATGGTTAATAGCTGAAAAGACTTTTTCGTTTAAAAATAGCCCATTAAAAGACTGTTTTTGAAGGCACACACTATTAGGAAAGCTTGCTTATAACATATTACAGTGTTACAACATTGTTGCCATGTTTTTATACTCTTACTGATTTCTTCTAAAATATTTTTCTAACATACTAATCAACTGACACACAGGTATATAAAATTGTCACACATATAGAGAACTTTAAGGCCATTAAGTGGAAAAATAGTTAAATGGTTGACTGAAATAATTGATTGCATGTCATAAAATAGGTGGTGCTTGGGGTAATGTTAATTTGAGTGATTTGAAGCTGTGTAAATTTTTATAACATATATGGGTCTTCTGGACTACTGAATGCAGACTCAGTCACTTGAAACATACATCACTATCTTTGGTGAAGTCAGTTTTCGTAACATCAGGTGAAAGAAGAAGAAAGTACAAGTTGGGTTTTTTTGAACTAACAGTTGAATATAATGTTTCATATTTCCTTCAGTGACGGGTTAGCACAAAGGTTGGATGAAATATGAGCTATAGGTAAAGGATTAATTTGGAGGCACTTTTTTTCAGGAATTTAGGCAAAAAATCTGCCTTTCTTTCCAGTAGCAACCATATCAATAGAAAATAGGAGTCCCTTAACTGCTGTGTTAGCAGTACCTTCAGAAAGAATAGGATCTTTTGGGTAGCATGAGAACTGTATTTGGTAGCATATAACCATTATAACCATATTTATTTCCAAATTTATATTATTCAGTAAGACAGTGTTTCTTGTCTATCATCTTTCTTGTTTAGAGGGAGATGATGGGGTCCATGTGTCAGAGAAGGGGAAGAGCATCTTTGGTCATAGGCTTGCCATGCTGGTGAAGTGGGCTTTAAACTAAAGTTGTCGGCTGGGGGAGGTGAGGGGAACCTGTTGGTGTGGGTCCAGATGAGGGCCGCAAAAGTGTTCAGAGGGCTGGAGCACTGCTCCTAGGAGGAAAGGCTGGGAGATTTGGGGCTGTTCAGCTCCAGGGAGACTGCATAGCAGCCTTTCAGTACCTGAAGGGGCCTACAAGAAAGCTGGAAGGGGACTTTTTACAAGGGCATGTAGGGATAGGACAAGGGGTAATGACTTTAAACTGAAAAGGCATAGATTTACATTAGCTATAAGGAAGAACTTCTTTACGAAGTGAGTGGTGAGGAGCACTGGAAAAGGCTGCCCAGAGAAGCTGGCGATGCCCCCTCCCTGGAAATGTTCAAGACCAGGCTGGATGGGGCTTTGAGCAACCTGGTCTAGTGGAAGGTGTCCCTGCCCATGGCAGGAGGGTTGGAGCTAGATGATCTTTAAGGTCCCTTCCAACCCAAACCTTTCTATAGTTCTATAATTGATAATTTTGTGTTCTTTTTGAGTGAACTTCACTTCAGTTGTTTTCTAGTATTTATAAATTGAAAAAATGCTTCTTTGGCGTAGATTTGTGTTTCCTTCTAATTACATTACTTATTCATTCAAGTTATACTTTAGGTTTTGTAGGCTTCTTCAGTACAGTTTCTTCTTCACTTATACTGAAGTGGTTCTACATATGTCTATGTTCTGCTTTCTTTATAACCTGGTATCGTTAAAGCTGGGTACTGCTCTGAAGCTGTCCAAGCTCAGGTATGATTTTCAAGGTAAACAACTTTTGTCAGCATTGATGAAGATTACAGTTTTCGTAAAGATTAATTTTGTTATGCTAGACTGAAATATCTGCCACGTGAAAGGCTATTTTGAAACCTTGGACATACAGAAATTAGGATCCCTGCAATTAAATCAGTTTCCATAAATTGATAAGTTATTGCTTTGGGTTTTGTCATTGTTTTCATCTGAAGAGGTTGATTTTCATTTTGCATCCTAAAATGTAAGGACATGATATTTCAAATCAGTACTAAATATCTTTAAAATCCATTTTGTGTTTTTCTGGGTGCCCTCAAGATGCAATAGTCTTCTCAAATACTAGGTTGAGTCTATTTTTGGCTTAGATACAAGTATAAAATAAAACAAGTTATTGCAACAGAACCTCTCTATCTTATAAATTAGTATAATTTCTAAGATGTGTTGAAATGCAAATATTACTGAAGGCTTGTGATAGTTTATTCCTAGGTGTGGAATGACAGAAACTGGTTATGTCATTTAGTGTCATTTTTACCACCAATCCTAATTCACAGTCTCTGGATGGAAAATGCTTTCTCTTTATAGCACAAGTATTGGATGTAGTTTCTACTGTTTCATATTCACAAATGCAAATAGATAGTATAGAAAAGCGTGATCTGGGCATTTGGAATTTTTTTCTGGCTTCAGTGACATTATTGAAAGAAGATGATGAACATTTAGGCATAGCTATGTTGTCTGAGGATATTCTTTAAAATCTGAAACAGCTTTTGTTGTGATTCTGTGATTTACTGTACATTAAAATCAAAGCATGTACAGGAGAGGTCTCTATCGGAATATATTTTGTATAGCAGCTGTAATATGGTTAAAATAAAAAGGTCTATTACAGATGAGAATAGCCTGGTAAAAGAAGGTAGCTCTCATTGCATCATGTGTTTTTACTACCAAGAATTAAACTGCTGACCCAACAAGCTGCTTTTGTAGTGTCCTTTTACTTTTTGAATGTTGGCTTCCCATTTTGCATGGGGAAAAATATAGCAAGAGATTTTTATCTTAGGACCCAAGAAGAGAAGAGGCCTCCTGCTCCTTGAGGCAGAGTACCTACTGATGAAGGTGCTCAACTTCTTTGATGCCTCAGATTTCTTGGCAAGGTTTGATATCAGGATCATCAGCTGCCTGAGCCCATTGTCAGTCTGGGGGAGGAAAGCACTATTCACAGTAGAAGACGTTGAAGTTACAGGCTGTTGAAGGAAATAAGACGTAAGCAAATACCTGGATGCTGAAGGATTGACCAAACAACTTCCAGAGGTCCCTCCCAATTGAATTAATTTTGTTTCTAATAGGCTTACTATTCAAATGTATTTCATAATGAAATCCATTATTTTATTTATACAAGATCCACCAAAATAAATCACTATGTGGTTTGATTATTAGCAGCAGCCACTATTATTGCTGTTTATTTTAGCAATTTTTTTACAGTTGCTGGTTGACATGATAGTAATGCTCGTAAGTCTGGGGATATAGTCTATGATGTCAATAAGTAGAATGATAAAGATGTAACAAATTTATCAGTACCTGTATTAAAATGTTGGAAATAGTCTAGAAACACATGAACAGTTATTTAAATGTTTTTCCCGTTCTTGACTTTCTGTATAGGCTTTCTCCTTTCCTCTCCTCATTGTGCAAAACTTCATGTCTCTTGTCTGTTCATCTATTCTAAACAAGTGATGAATCACATTCACACCCTCCTTTGGTCCCCTCTCCCCTAATACAGGTAAGATTGTAAGCAATTGGGGTAGAAAACAATTAGGTCAAACACTCCCATGAATAACTCCTGCCACAGAGAATAAATTTCTGTGCTCTACTTTGTTTTGAGTGGGAAAGTTGGACTTAAAATGGATTTCCATAAGGGCTTAGATAATACTTGGGAATTTGTTTCCCAAGGAGACACAGAACAAAGGCAATGAAGAGTTTTCTGTCAAAGAGAGGAGGGCTTGTTGCAGGCAAGGAGGCAGTATTGACACTCTGATGTGCTCTCACTCTCTGCCACTCTGATGGCCCTTTGTCGGCCAGCTGGAGTTTCTGAAGGCACCGACATAGGAGTGCTGCCTGTGGGGATGTGAAGAGCATACTGAAGATTAAAAGAACAAAAGCTAGAAAGGATAAGGCTGGAAATGTAGCAGATGTATTTCAAATCCCTTTTATTTTACACAGTGTTGTCTAAATTGGGGCAGTCGGAGGTGTATTAGATTCCCTGTTGTTCTTTCATGTCTGATCATGGGGATCCCCCAGCAAGACAGGAAGAGAATGAGGTGCAACTTGCCAGTGCAAAATAGATCCTAAAAAGTTACTCTTAAGCTTCTATTTGTGCTCATTTCTGTAACTTCCATGTCATTCATGTGATTCATGTGATTCATGTGATTGCAGCATCACAAGGTCGTTTTGGTAGGACCTGTGTGGTTTCGTTTGCTTGCAAAGTTATCTGCATGGTAGATTAGAGAGGCCTTTAGTAATGCTTTCAGAACCATCTCCCTTAAGATCCTTATAGAGGTGCTGGTGACATATCATAGTTTCATGTCAGACAAGATGTGCAGAGGGGAGAGTATTTCCAATAAGACATGGATGTACTCAAGTCCTGTTGTAAGTGCCTTTATTCTTGCTTCTTGCCCAGCCTGTGTCAGTTTTGTCAGCCCATAATACTTGATCAGGCTTGGAAGACTTGTAGCTTCTCTGAATCGCTGCATCCACAGGCTCTGCCTTTAATCTTTCGCATGTGCATGATAGGGCATGCTCATGTCAGCTTGGCTGGACGTTGCTTAAAGTTGTGTACAGAGGAGGTACTGGAATTTGCTTCAGGTTTAAGCTAAATGTTATGCTTCTTGCTTTCCTCAAAATACTGAGCCTTGGGGAATATCTTCTTTCTGACCTGGAAGAGAATATGTAAGAAGGATGAGAAATGCAGAAAATGGTAACTTCTATGAATAGTGTTAAATATATATTTTAACTTAATTTTGTCTTTCTTTCCTCTTATAGTCTCTCAGATTTTATAATTAGCTGTCACAATAATTATTAAAGGCTGCATCTCTACTTAGAAGGTGAGAAGAAATGAAATGATAGCCATTGCTGAAGTCGATGTCATCATCTCACATGCTTCTAG